CTTCTGGAGGCAGGCTGTTCCACTGATTAGTTGTTCTCACTGTCAGGAAGTTTCTCCTTAGTTCTAGGTTGCTTCTCTCCTTGATTAGTTTCCACCCGTTGCTTCTTGTCCTGCCTTCAGGTGCGTTGGAAAATAGCTTAATTCCCTCTTCTTTATGGCAGCCCCTGAGATATTGGAATACTGCTATCATGTCCCCCCTTGTCCTTCTCTTCGTTAAACTAGACATACCCAATTCTCGCAACCGTTCCTTATATGTTTTAGCCTCCAGTCCCCTAATCATCTTTGTTGCTCTTCTCTGTACTCTTTCTAGAGTCTCAACATCTTTTTTACATCGTGGTGACCCAAACTGGATGCAGTATTCCAAGTGTGGCCTTACCAAGGCATTGAAGAGTGGTATTAATACTTCACGTGATCTTGATTCTATCCCTCTGTTAATGCAGCCTAGCACTGCGTTGGCCTTTTTGGCAGCTGCAGCACACTGCTGGCTCATATTTAGGTGATTGTCTACTAGGACTCCGAGGTCCCCCTCACAGTTACTACTATTGAGCATGGTGCCACCTATGCTGTACTTGTGCATTTGGTTTTTCTTGCCTAAGTGTAGAACCTTGCTTTTTACACCATTGAATTTCATTTTGTTAGTTAGTGCCCAGTGTTCAAGTCTGTCCAGATCCTTCTGTATCTTAAGCCTGTCTTCTGGAGTGTTCGCTATTCCTGCCAGCTTGGTGTCCTCTGCAAATTTGATGAATTCTCCATCTATCCCTTCATCCAAATCATTGTCTGGCATGATCTTCACCCTCTTTCTCTCACGTATGATCTCTGGGCTGCCTCTTACTGCTCTGGAATCCATCTCCTCACTGGATTCCATCACAAGATGTGATTTAATCAAGCAACTCAGTCTTTACTCCTCATCCTGGTAAACTTCTACACCAACGTCTTCAACTGGGTGTCCCTCAGATATGTCGGGACAGCAAAATCATCGTGTTCAGAAGTACGTTGACGTGGAATGTAGACCAACGTTCGTCAGCTGGGAAAAGCTGAATTAAGAACTGAAAGACTACATTCCTCACTTCACTTGAGGTTTTCCAACATGCTTTACCTTCACGGGCTGTCCCGGGCAAAAGAGAAAATGACAATCTGTTTCACTCAGAGTCATCAAACAGAAGAAAGCCAGAACTTTGGGATGATGGGTCTAAAAGGGCAGTGAATTGTCCTTTTAACTTTTCTTGCAAAACAGCTGCTTCATGGTGCTTAAGACTGCTGGGACACCTTCACCGGAATGAAATGTTATAAGAAACTATGCTGTAAGATAGCCAGTTGACAGGTTGGCTAGTGAGTGGCTGTGATGAACAACTATGTTTGAAGGAGTGCATAGGAAGGAACAGCAGAATTTAATCTTAAGCATATGATTAAGCTATGCCAGATAATGTCACTTCATATTTTTTTTTGTACTAATCTATGCAGGGGGTGGAGAACTTTGAAAATGTTCCTTTTTGTGGCAGCCACTATTTAATTGCACGTTAGACCTAAGCAGCTCAAAAACTTAGTTACCATAGTAACCTCTTATTGCAGATTTATTGCCGACAATCTGTTCTCAATAACAATCCACCAAACAGAACTTTCCCTCTCCTGACCCACAGCCCTTCCTCTCATCGCTTGTTCCTAGACTGTCTTTATAACTTCCTCCATCATCGTGTAGTGCTTTGGCTATGTGTGTAGAGGTGCGTGCGTGTGTGTGTGTGTGTGTGTGTGTGTGTGTGTGTGTGTGTTTAAAGAAAACAGTGTGTTTGATAGCTTTATCTTCCCAGATTAGAGTAAATAATTGCTCTTTTGTTTCTCCAACAGGGATTACTTTATTCTGTAATTCATTAGGTCTGATTTCAGGTTTTCACATAATATTTAATAATGCAATGTACTTATTTTTAAAAAATGAATTGGGTAATGAAAGCATGTCTGCAATTTGTATAAACCGTTGTTTTAATTGAGTGCTAGGTGGAAAAATGCATTGTTGCAATCAGAGAATTCGAGCATTTATCTGTTCACTCCTTCCACCAAATAGAAAAGATTCTGTCTCCTTGCTAGATATGTTTAATCTCTGCTCCTGAACTCGTAGTGCTAAGCAACTGGAAGGAGATTCTCTTAACAAAAGCTTCATGTCCCTCCAGACTAAGGCTAAGGAAATTGAAATACAAGAGCAGAGAAATGGCCCCATTCAAAATCAAACACTCCACTTTTATCCTGCAGGAGATCTCTTATCAGTCCTTTCATCATGACCTTTTAAGTGAGGTTGCTCCAAGTTGCACTTTTGGTGTGCAAAGTTCAGGTAGTCCTCGACTTCCGACATTTGTTAAGTGAGTTTTGCCCCATTTCACGACTTTTCTTGCCACGTTTGTTAAAGTAATCACTGTGGTTGTTAAATTAATAACAAGGTTGTTAAGTAAATCTGGTTTCCCCATTGACTTTGCTTGTTGGAAGGTTGCTAAAGGGGGTCACGTGACTCCGGGACACTGCGACTGTCATAAATGTGAACCAATTATCAAGCACCTGACCCTGGGGATGGTGCAATGGTCATAAGGGTGAAAAAATGGTCATAAGTCACTTTTTTCAGTGCCGTTGTAACTTCAAATGGTCACTAAGTGAACTGTTGTAAGTCGAGGACTTCCTACATGTGTTTCTTCACTGAGCAGTGGACATTTTTTTTTTACAAATTTTATTTATAATACAGTTAAAAACAAACAAACGTTGGATTTAACGTGACATTTCAGTATATACATTCTTATCAGATTATTCCACTTTTTACAATCAATTCTTCATCTCCACATATACATCTAAGTTTTATATACAATACTTATTCCAAAATAACATATCTTTCTATCTTAACATTCATCTTTAATCCCAACCGTCCTCTTCAAATTCCTCCATCGGTAAAATTTATCCCAGGTTTCATAATAAACTGATCCACATTTGTCTTTTAATATCATTGTGAGCCTGTCCATTTCCGCACATGCTAATATTTTATGTATTAACTCTTCCTCCGTGGGAATTTCCTCGCTCTTCCATTTTTGCACTAAAGCAAGCCTAGCTGCAGTCAGGATGTGTAGCAGCAGGTAGATTGTTCCCTTGTCATATTTTTTCTGTCGTTATTCCCAACAAGTTCAGGTTTTAACTCTAAGTCTATTGTTAATATATCCCTCAACCAGTTTTGTGTCCTGTTCCAATACTCACGAGTTTTTGGGCATTCCCACCACCTATGGTAACATGAACCTATTGCTGTTTTACATTGAGCAGTGGACATTTTTAATCGTCACCTGAAACCCTTTTCAAAAACTTCAGCATTTCTGACCCTCACCGCAATTCAGCCTTTTCTTTATTGCGAACACTTGCAAAAGAACTGCTGATGAAGAATCCAGGTAGTCCGTTCCATTAATGACTGTTCCATGTTCAGTTATGGTGGCACTGGGAAATGTAAGTTAGGACTGGTGCTCACACTTCCAGCTGTTGCAACATCCCTCAAAATTCTGGGATTTGGAAACGGGAATATATTTATATGGGTTGTAGCATCCCAGGATCATGTGATTGCCATTTTCAAACTTTCCACCTGGCTTCCGACAAGCAAAGTCAACAGGGGAAGCTGGATTCGTTTAACAACTCTGTGATTCATTTAATGACCGTGGCCAAAGGGGTGATAGAATTAGGAGCAACTCAATTAATGAGCCCATTGCTTAGCTAAGACAGAAGTTCAGGTTTTCAGTTTACATTTAAAAAAAAAAAAAAGATCCTGCAGAAACATTGTAAAAAGGCTTTTGAATCACTTGTGTTAATACAGCCCAGATTTGGGGAAAGGGTATGCAAATCACAAAATAAATAAATAAATAAATGCAGATTATTTTTCCCAACTGTCTGTAGAACAGAATGTGTAACACACGCAAAACACATATTGAGGAAATTTTAGTGCAGACCAGGTCTGTTCAGATCTGCGCATCTATGTTTATAGTTCAACTCATCTGAAGGGCCAACACTATTTTGCTTTTGTATTGTTTGCGGGGGGCGGGGGGGGGGAATGTCCTGCTTTGTTTTACTTATTGTTTAGTCTGAGCTGTCTGCCTTCTGTCTTGTTTATGCTTTTTTAATTGCTTTAATTTAGTATTTATATTATTAGTATGATCACAATAATATCATTAGTATTAGTTTATATTTTGTTCTTTATTTAGCGTATGGCATATCATACATGGACTAGCAATATATATTAATTATTTCACCTAGAGGTTTGTGGATTCTCAGTCATCCAGGTCATGGTTGTCTCAAAGCTGCTTTTTTTTTTCTTCAAAAGGCAACTGGACTGTTGTTGTTTTTTTCGGGTTTTTTTTTCCTTGAGGAAGAAGAAGAAAACTTCCTGAAAAAAAACAAAACAGTTGCTTTTTGAAGAAAAGAAGCACCTTTGAGATTTCACCTAGATTACTAAAACACAATAAAATATAAAGGTTTAAAAAGATCTGTGTTCAAATACCAATGTCTACTCTAGGCTATCTCTAACCATCTAAAAAAAATTATATTTTGTAAGCTGGCCAGAGTCCAGCAGGGTGGATGGCTGCATTGATTCTAGATGGTGACGATGATTTTTATTCCAAATTAGTACCAGATGAAAAAAGGGCAGGAATCAGTCCTTAAATTTGAGGAAGGGGAGATGCAAGTGGTGCCCACACAGAGGAAAAATACTGAAGTCCTTACATGGAAAAGACCATTCTATAAACTAGACTTAGGATGTCCAACCATGGCAACTTTTAAGACCTATGGACTTCAACTCCCAGAATTCCCCAGCCAGCAACTTTAAGTCCTGTGGACTTCAACTCCCAGAATTCCCCAGCCAGCCACAGGTCTTGCCAAGATTGGACACCCCTGCTGTAAAGACTGCATAGATATTTAAGAAGATCTAGTCTTCACGTATGTTTATGACTTCTTTCTCAAGAAAGCCATCCTAGCTGTTTTATTTTCTTCTCCTTCAGAGAGACCTCACATTTATGAAAAGGAGACTGATTTTTCCAGTACTGAGCTGGTGACTAAAGGAAGAGAGCACAGCCTTCAATGCACAGCGAGCGGATGGCCTCTGCCCTCCATACACTGGGAATGGGAGCCCTGCAGCCATACAGACAACCAGTAAGTAATCAGACATTTTTGGTCTATTTAACTTCCCCATGACGGATATCCAGCAGAAGCTGCAGTAGTGTCACATTCATCATGAGACGACTGCACTAGTACAGGGGTAGGCAACCTCGGCTCTTTCATGACTCGTGGACTTCAACTCCCAGAATTCCTGAGCCAGCCATGCTGTGGGGAAAAAGGAGAGGTTTCCAAGCTGAGCCATGCTGGCTGAGGGATTCTGGGAGTTGAAGTCCACGAGTCATAAAAGAGCCAAGGTGGCCTACCCCTGGTCTAGTAGAATGAATTATATGGATCGAATCACTGTGGGGTGATGTTGCTTGCTCTTTAGAGTTGCTTTCATCCTCCATTACTCCAAAACTGTTTATGGGCTTCTCAAGATTTAGAAAAATCATATAAGAAATGCTACTTGCTGTGTACTGGAGAGAATGTTGAGCTTTTATAGAAGCGGGCCAGGCATTCTTGATAGTCAAAGACTTTTGGCTTTGGGGTCTGGAGGCAAATTACAATCCCTCTTCCCCAAGGAAAAAAGACCAAACCCCCTCCTCAATAGCAATCAACCCCCATAGGAGCAGAAATTAACACCAAAATTAAGACTACAGCAACAATCAAGAAGTAAATAACACCCCAGTCAAGGAACTACCAATGCAGACAAACAAGCTAAGAGTCAATAACAGCCTAATCAAGGAACACTCTCACCAAGACTGAGACAGCAAGCCATTAGTATAACAAAATAAAAGCAAACCCTACTCCCTTCTAGAACTGATGATGTTACCTAGTTTGGTAAGGAAATGTCTACAAAAAAACCACCAAGCTCATAGAACACCAAGGACCTTGTAGTCTTCTTCTTCTTCTTCCTCCTCCTCCTCCTCTTCCTCCATTCTTCAAACCCCATTCTCATCTAGCACTGATGAGGCTACCTAGTTGGGTCATGAAATGTCTGCAACCAGGCTCAGAGACCACTAAGAGCACCACAATTCAATCCTGAGCTAAAAATATTATCTTTTATCAACTTTAGGCTTTCAGCTAGGATAGTGTTCCTTCAGCTCTTAAGCTATGGAAGAAGTTGTAAAAGACGAAGTGTGAGTCAAAATGATAAGAACAATCCTTCATTACACCATAGAGCTATCTAGCTGGACTTTGTCTTCCATTGCAGAAATTTATCCATCAGCACAACATTAAAAAAAAAACATTCCATAATTATGGGTTGTTCTCAGTATATGGTCAAACATGAAAGTCTCATTCAGGTATGAAAATAATGAAATAAGTTTCCTGTGTGGATTTTTTCAAACTTCTGGAACTGATGAATATTGTAAGTAAATTCTTCACTGGCCATGTTGAAAATGCCCTTAAAGACAGGAGATTGCATTTACTGCATTGAGGGGAAGTAATTCAGCATCAAAAGGATGTTGTCAGGTGACAGCAAAGCCCCACCACTTCAGTAGACCACACCCTTGAACCTTTGAGCTCTACCCATGAAATGACGGAGGTTCACAATGCCCTAGTCTCAGATCAGCTGACCAAAATCCGAGAACCGCAGCCAGATTTGAATGAGGCATTATCCCAGCTAAACTGCCTGCAAGGAGTTAAAGTTCTTCCACATAAACAACTACCCAAAAACATTGACAGCCCAGTGGGAAGTTTTGAAGTTCTTTAGAGATTCCGACTGAAACAGCTGTTTCAAAGGAAATAAACAAGCCCCCGCTGAATATATCTCATGGAGTCCTCAGCCAGTTCAGAGACCAACTTGGCTTTGTCCACTCTGAGTTGAGAGGTGAAGGGAGGAAGAACAAGGTCTAAACCATTTTGAGAACAGCTCTGGTCTGGTCTCTGAGTTGTTAAGTCCTTCTTTTGATGGAGCTGAAGATGGGAACTCAATCTAAAATGAGAATTTTAGAATAATGTAGCATGTTCACATGTTGGACTTGGATTAGGGAGACCAAAGTATGAACACCTCATATATACATGAGCTAACTACGAAGCTTTAATGATGGTTTCTTCCTGTCTTGGCCTAAGACAGCGTGATCAGCAGAGGTGGTTATAAAGCCAAGATGATGGCTGAAACAACCTTGATTGGGATCCCACTGCTTTTTAATACACATCTTGACTTTTTTGATCCTTCCCACCCACCCACACAGACACTTGTGGCCCAAAGGATTATGGGCAGAAAATTAGGGAAGACCCTGATATGTCATGTGACCTTCATATGTCCTTTCTTCTCACTCCATCCAATGTAAATGCAATTCTGTTCTCTCCAAACATGCTTAAAAAGATGTAGGGATGTAGTTTGTTAGTTGTCGTGTCATGAATAACATATATAAATCTTTCTAATCAGCTCTGATAATGAACTGTCTTTTGAAATGACTCCTCCGCACATATCTGTGAGCCCAGGATAATATCCACATTTTCCCCTCCACTCTAAAAAGATATACTCCGTCTATTATGAAGCTTATAATTCTGGGATTACAAAGATTAGCGGCCTAGGCATTACTACGCTATTACCCTTTGTGAGTGTGAACAAATGGATGCAGCCTGTGCTGCGCAAAGGGAAAAAAAAACAGGTGAGCTAGCAGAGTTTAATGATTTCCACTGGGGAAACAGCAGATCACAGGATTTATTGTCTTGGAAAGGAGACCTGGTGAAAATCAAGGCTGGCAGAGGCACTGTTAGTACCTAGCGATCCACACAGTCAAGAAACACAGAGAGAAAGATTCAACATGGAGCTTCTCCAAGACCTGCAAGAATAAAAGATATGCTTTCATTGCTTTGGAACATCACATTCCACAGATCTGCCCCAAAGTCAGACAATCTGGTCAGGATTCTTTGTCTCTTCTGCTCCTTGCAGTGATGTTCAAAGCAGCCACTTGTCGTTAGTTTCCTCCTACGCTCAGCACACAAACATAGTGATAAGTTGGTAGATTCTAACAAGAGACAATCTAGAAGCAGAGGAGGGGTGGATGGTGAAGCTCAAATGTGCTAAACAGGCATTTTATTGAGTTAAGCATATAATATTGCCCGTTGCTTATAGACAAACAGGCAATTTCCTTTGTTCCTGTTGAAATATTAGCAGAGCAACCCATAGGAGATCTTTGGCTCAGGGCTGAATGGAAACTACTTCTCTGGGTGAATGCCAGTTGGAGCCAAAGGTAACAATCTTCATGCTCTTTAGCCCTTCTCTGCTGCAGGGAGAAATTTGGAAGGAGTCTGGTTTTCCACACAAAACAAAAAGAACAGATGGAGGAACATTAAAGAACTAAACTATGTTCTCTCTCCCCCTCCTCTTCAAGTTTTTCTTGGCGGTAGGGAGTTACTGTCACAGGAAGAACATCTGTAGAAAAATAACAGAATAACAACAGAGTTGGAAGGGACCTTGAAGGCCTTCTAGTCCAACCCCCCTGCTTGAACAGGATATACGGTTTCAGACAGGGGACTGTCCAGTCTCTTCTTAAAAGCCTCCGGTGATGGAGCACCCGCAACTTCTGAAGTCAAGTCGTTCCACTGTCAGGAAATTTCTCCTTAGTTCTAGGTTGCTTCTCTCCTTGATTAGTTTCCATCCATTGTTTCTTGCCTTGCCTTCTCGTGCTTTGGAAAATAGGTTGACTTAACTTAGAACAGGAAAGATTGAGGGCAACAGAAGAAAGGAACAGCAGAGAATGAGGTGGCTGGATGGAGTCCCTGAAGCAGTAGGCATGAGCTTAAATGGACTCCAGAAGATGGTAGAGGACAGGAAGGCCTGGAGGAACGTTGTCCATGGGGTCGCGATGGGTCGGACACGATTTGCAACTAACAACAACAACAAACATAGAACAGAGAATAATAGAGTTGGAAGGGACCTTGGAGGTCCTCCAGTCCAACCTCCTGCTCAAACAAGAGTCCCTATACCAGTGGTGGCGAACCTATGGCACAAGTGCCAGAGGTGGCACTCAGAGCCCTCTCTGTGAGAACTCGCGCCATCGCCCCAGTCCTAGGCCTTCAGCTGGGTTTTATAAAACCTTTTCGCTTTAGGTCTCCGCCGCCATGTGCAAAAAAAAAAAAAAAAAAAGGTTCAATCAATCCGTCAATTTCAACTTGCGGGGAAAAAAAGATCTTTCAAAGTTGAAATTGATTGATTGAACTTTTTAGTCCCACCCAGTCTGCCGTTACTACCGCAGCCATGCCCACTCAATGGGCCACACCCATCCGCACCCGATAATGCATAAATGGGTTTTGGGTTGCAGTTTGGGCATTCAGTCTCTAAAAGGTTCGCCATCACTGCCCTATATCATTCCAGACAAATGGTTGTCCAGTCTCTTCTTAAAAGCTTCCAGTGATGGAGCACCCACAACTTCTGAAAACAAGCCATTCCACTGGTTGATCGTTCTTACTATCAGGAATTTTCTCCTTAGTTCTAGGTTGCTTCTCTACTTCATTAGTTTCGATCCTTTCCTTCTTGTGCTTTGAAAAATAGGTTGACCCTTTCTTCTTTGTGGCAGCCCTTCAAATATTCAAACACTGCTATCATGTCCTTCTTTTCATTGTCTAACATTGCAGTTTCAGCTTCTTCAGTGCCTCAAAGACTCATCCACTGATAGATCTTTGTATTAGTAGCCAAATAAATTTCTCCAAAGTCAGAGAAGAGATGGGAATCTCTTCTTTGAGATGTTCTGGGCCATGTCTCACCTTCCTCTTCCTCTTTGATTTCAGTAATGCAAAATATCTGATTCCCAGAACATTTTCACACAATGGGAAATCTCTGGACACCTCCCAGAAAAACTCCGTTCTGTAAGGATGGTGGTTTTATTTCAACATAATCGGCAAATGCATGACCTAGAAAAAAGACTTGAGCTGTACCCTAGATGCTTTGCATTATACGTAGTCAAGAAATCCATATAAGGCTCCACTTTTGGAAAACTCTATCCTCACAGCTTACTAGAACCTCTTTTTCTAAGAAATGTTCTATTTTTGCTTGACCCTGATAACATGTCTCTCTTGGAGAAATTTGCCTGTGGCATCATTTT